GAGGACAGCAGACGTAGTAAGGAGAAAACTCCGAGTTCTGAATGAGGTAATACAAATTTCAGAAGGATGAAATGGACATCAAAAGTGTTTATGTGACTGGTGGTTTCTAACTTGCTAAATAACTGTTCCAAGCAAATGCATATAGTTTTATGTACTGCATTTTGCAATTTGTTTTAAGCATGAAATATTCAGAAACTGAGCAATTACTTTACAGATAACCTTATAAGAACTATTTCATTTTTCCTTTTGTGTGTGTTCCAGAAACACACTGCCAATTCTTCATTACAGTTGTAACAAAAGGTAGCATTTTACTTTATTTCACTTGGTTACCGATACCAGGATAAAATAGAAAAAGAACTCTGGAAAATATAATCTTCATAAAAACATTTAACTCAGATGCTTCACCGAAGATGACTGATCTTACAGAACAAAGGATATCAACAGTCTAAGGAGAAGCTCAGACACAGGAGAACTCTGGAAGATAAACTTCCATTCCCCTGTTTCTTCTTCTCCTCTATATTTAACAATAAGTTACCAAGTAATGACAAAAAAGAAAATCTGAGTAATAGTGTAACTTAATGAAATTCTGTGGCAAGGTATATTCTGCATAAGCAGAACGTAAAGAAAGAAAAATACTCTGCAATTTAATTACTAACTCATATCTGGATTATTAACAAAATAAGAATCAATTAGGAGCATGTTTAGCTAAAAATCTTGATCAATTTTGTACCTTCTGGTGATTTGTATATTCAGTCTACAACAGCTATTTTGTAGTTTAAATGGGCGAGTCAGACAGCTGCTGTGTATTTTATAAAATGAAAGCTACATTTCCTTTAAAATTTGGCTTTATTCTCAACTAAAATGTCTATCATTAGGTGTCAGGAATAAAAGATTTTGGTGAATACAAAAACTTGGAGCATTCATAGCTACTGTTTCCATAAAGGAAAGTGATCACCCTTAAAAAAATATTTCTTAGTACATCCTTGATAATCTGCAAATTTGAGAGAAATATTTTAAGGCAACATGAACACTATATAAACAGATCAAATGCTTCATTTTTATTCTTAAGTTTCAAAGCTTAGACATCTACCCTAGGTGCCAAAACTGAAAACATTTACACAGAGGTTTTATCTTCACTCTTGTGAGCAATTCCACAGCCTTCTCACTAGAGCAACTTAGATCCTGGCTTCAGGATCTTCAAAGTTACACGTGAGAAGACGACACAAGCATACGGCTGTTAGAACCAAAACATGTGCTCCAAAAGACATACCAAGAATGGCTTCTTCCGAATTGTTTGGTTTCAGCCAGAGCTAGAAAGGATATAGAACTGTGGTAGGAATAAAAAAATGATCATGAGGTCTTTATTAAATTCTCCTACATGAAAAATAATATATAAAAGCCATATTTAATTAAAATTGTGAAATCCCACAAATGGTTAACATTATTTATAACTGTGATAATACTGATATATGTGGCTTGCATTTGACCTTTTCCCAAGACAAACAGAAAATCTTACTATGACTGGTTAAACCATAACTATTTATTACTACAAACATGGCTAAAAGCAAGTATTTATAACACCAGGAGGTGTTGCTGAGTTATCCACCATTTCCACTTCCTCCAACCACATCCCTGCATTTATTGTCCACATTTAAAATGTCTGCTACATTGTTAAGAGGATTCTCTCCTGCAGAAAAGTCATCAATATCCCTGAGGTCAAGACAGGGAATGAAAATTCTTTTTGAAAATCCTCACACACAGCACCAGAAAGAGGCAGGAAGTTCCCTTCTCCCCAGATTTCAGCAATTCCTCTCCCAGTTCCTCCAGCACTTGTTGGCATGAAGACTGACAGCCTGGATCTGGAACCTATTACCCATGGAAGCACAGGCTGTTAACCACACAGCTGATAGCTGGCTCAGTGAAATTAGTTTAAATGACGGGTGTTTAAACAAAAAAAACCCTCAAACACCAAAATCCCACAACATATGAGTGCCTTTCACAATGCAAGTTCTCTGTGCTGGTTATCTTTTCTCTCAGAATGTTAATGCAGGTAAACTGCTTCAAACACTTCAGTTAACTTTCATACTTCTAGCCAAGGGACTTCTGCCTGGCATCTCCTTGAGCTTTGTCAAGAGGATCACAGTTGTTCCTGAATGTGAGTACTCAGCACCTCTAAAAAGATGGTAAACAGTGACTCACCTTTTTATGTTATAGATTCTTTCCTCTTAAGAGAGAGGTGCAAAGCACACACTACAAAATTTTGAACCAGGTAACTCTTGCTTGCCTTTGAGATTGTACAAGCTTTTTAAACACTGAAGCTCCAAACAGGCCAAATTCTGAAATTCAGGGAACTACTAAAGCACACTTAATCAGTGGTGGGGTTTTACCCTCCTGAATACACAACTAGCATAATTTGAATGCAGTATACAGTGAAACTTGAGTGACTGCAGTGAAGGTCATGAAGTTTTAGAAAACACCATAAATATGAACTGAACTTGTATCATTAAAATACAAAACCTGGTTTCTGTGAACAGACAAAACTACAGTTGGAACAGATCTCATGTTAAGCATTTAGGCTGGATACTACCAGCCCATTTAATGCTTGAAGTTTAAGCCTAAACATACTGTTTGGTTAATGACAGCACAATACACTTCAAGCTGTGAGAAACTAGTGATTTTTTAATGTATTTTACGTTTAAACCGCTTGTACTTTTCTTCCTTTCGTAGGATTCGCTCTGTAAGCCCTAAAAGTCAGCTGTTGCTTTATTTTTGCACTCTGTTTCTACAGCTTGCAGCATTTATACCTCGCTTTGATGTGTCAGTTGTATACGCAATTCACAAGAACTGTGATGATCAACAAGTATCAGTATGCATGTAAGAGGAGACAGAAACAGTTGCAAACACATGGCCTTCAAATCATTGCAAACAGCACAAGCAAACATCTTAAGAGTTGTAGAGACTAATCTAACTTGTCTTTGAAGCCAGTTGTGTGGAAAAAAAATGTTCTAGAAAAAATTGTTTAAGATTAGGAAATGGTATGACAAAAGGTCAAGGAATTTAAAATTTAAAACACAGTTTAGATGCAAGTCAGGCAGACAAGTCATTTCAATCTCGTAATTCGACTTGTCTGTTAACTCACAGAATAGAACTATTCCAAAGCTTTTGGGGAACAGAACACAAGATTTAAAAAGGCAATTAGGGTACCACATCTGAATAAATCAAACAGCTACAAAAATAGGAAACGGCACTATATCATCAGGTGGGACAAATGTGTAACCCACCGTGGGGCTAACACACATAGATAAGAACAGGATTTGCTTCCTTGAGATGATTATGAACAGTGCAGCCCTGACCTTCCATAATGCCATTCTGAGTGGCTGCTTAGCAGGACAACACAAGGTGTGTTTGGCAAGGTCATAAGACTTCTTAAAGTTGGTATTTACACAGGATTACAAAGCAGAATCATAATTTGAAGATTATAGAGAAAGGGAGAATTTGTGCACCAAAGACATTCAGCATCTAAGAAAAATAAAATCAGATATGTGGAATATACTATTTGGAAAATTAAATGCTCTTTGCAAACTTGCTCAAACACAGCAGGTTCTCATTTAGCCTCTTTTTCTGGCACATTTGCTAAGCAAGCTATCAGGAAGTCTGGATCTAGACAAACTGCTGCTAAGGGTGGCCCACCTTCTATCAAATACACTAGGACAAAAGCTTCCTCAGTCTCCTGATTAAGGAGGACACTGCCCCACTCTTGACTGTCATGCCCTGTCCCAGTGGATCCACTGGGCTGTCTCATGCTCCCTGGGAGTAGGTTGGCTAGTGCTGGAATTCATAACAGAGAAAAGAGCTCTCAGGAGTCAGGTTCAATGCCTGAAAGAAATCAAACTGAAAATGGATTGTATTTATTAATTACTTCTTTAAATGTCCATTCTTAGAGAATGCGAAATCTCTAATTTTTTATTCTAATTTCATCATGTATTGCATGTTGAGTTTGAAGTAGTTTTGTTCACAATACTTTCTTGTAGACAGAGTAATTTCTTCTAGATTTTATTCCCTTCTTGCACCTAAACAGCTTCAAATTTCCACTGACAGCTGTACACAGAACGGCAAGTGATATATTGAGTATATTGAGCATGCTCAGGAAACCAAGGCATAAACACCTCCAAGTGCAACAGACATTCTGTAGCCAGTTGAGAGCAAACTTTTCATAACCTTTATATTACTCTGCCATGAACCATGTTAGTGTGAAGGGCATAGGAGATGAATACTATGAACATTCAGAGGTTATATGCTAAAAAAGATTATGGTCGGTTTTTAACATTTTTATCAATTACGTTTTCTCCAGTACTAAGCTAAATAAGATGCTAGAAAACACTAGAATTTTCCCTTCTGTAAGTAATATAATTTTTTCTTCACAGGTGTCCTAAAACCCCCCTAACATTTTGAAATAAAATAAAAATATACTGTAATAAAATGATATTTAACTCCCATCTTCCAAATAAACGTTTAATTCAGAGACTGAACTCCTAGGGGCAGCTCTTGCTCTTTAGAGGGAAAACAACAACCATCCATTACTTGCCAGGATGGAAAAAGAACAAGCTTAAAAAGTATGCAAAAACAAAAAACCCCAAGCACAATATTATGCCACGTTTTAAAGTAGCAGCAACCAAATTACAAGGTTTTAATGAGATAACATTCCAATAAAACCACCTAGTCTGAATGAGGGTAACACTAATAAGATGATTTTTTTCTTTTAATAAAATCCCATGCCTGTGGAGTGGCTTACCTTACCCACAGTATGCTAAGCACAAGAAGAGCGCCGGGTCCTTGTCTCAAAGTCTGAGGCTGTTAAGAGCCATAAGGGCCTGACTTTACCCAGGAAAGCTGAAGGTCTCCACAGTTCTTTAGTACCACCAGCACATCACAGGGCACTTACTGCTGCAGATATCCCTGCACCCTCTGTCACCTCAGTGCCACAGGTACCTCCTCCAACCTCTATCACCTCAGGCATGCAGGTACCTCCTCCAACAACTGTCATCTCAGGGATGCAGGTACCTCCTCCAACAACTGTCATCTCAGGGATGCAGGTACCTCCTCCAACAATTGTCATCTCAGGGATGCAGGTACCTCCTCCAACAATTGTCATCTCACAGATGCAGGTACCTCCTCCAACAAC